TGGAAAATAATGTGTTTTTTGAACCTTAAACCGCATAAACACATTTCATTACACCAAATACACAAAATAATGTTCTTTTTAGCAGCATCATATGACCCCTTTAATTATATATTACAGTGCTGCTAGGGTGTTCTAGCTGGTTCTAGCCAGTTACTAGGATGTTCTAGCCAGTTACTAGGCATATCTACAGTGTTTTGCCTTGTTGCTAACTGAGCAATTCTCATCAGCATCATTAGCATTTTGTGTCATCTGACTTCTTAGATGGATTGGCTCATTGTTTGCAACTGAATGATTTCCGTCTGTGGCCAAAGTAGCCTTAAAGTAATGATACACATTATGAATTAGACAGTACAAATGGGATCTGTAACACTTAAAGGCACAATATGTAATTTTTTGCCACTAGAGGGCGCGTATTCAAAACAAACAAAGAAACAAAGGCGTAGCTTGATGACGCCGTGACTGAGTGTGGAGCTATGTTTCCATCCAAAGATGCTAATTTTCTTATGCGCAAAACTGGAATATCGCATAAAACATTTGCGAATAAAGCACCGTTTCCATCCAACGAGTCAAAGAGGTCATCTTCATGGATGAGCTAATGTATTAAAGATTTATTAACGTTGTAGTATGAAGCAGAGTGAGGCGGAAAGCTGTCGAAGCAAAACGAGGCCACTGAACGAGCGTGAGACACGACTCGAAAGCAGCAGAGCTTTTATTATGCCACAGTCGACCGCTTCCGCTCCTTCCGGTCGTGTGTATGTGATAATACTTACATTACGTTTCGAAGAATGTTTTGACACAAGTCAGCAAAATATATAAAACTGTTCTAGTGGTTTTAGGATATTTTAATAAAAAAATCGTACATATTGTGCCTTTAAAGGTACGTATACAGTAGATCAGTATAGTCACTGCTGTCCAGGTTATCATGGCTGCTGGCAGAGGCAGGTAGTGGCAGAAAGCATGTGATGACCTGGGAGTGCGTTTCCAGCCAAGTAAAAACTGTGAAAAAACACCATTTACTAAGCAGATGTAGCGCATAAATCATCTACTCTTCCCATCCCTCCCCCTAAATTGCTTTTTCTCTATCATCCTATCTCTCTTTTCCCACAACCCTCTACTTTTGTGCCCCCTCTCCTTCTTTTTTTCCCCTTTCCCCTCCTCTCACTCCCTCTCTCTCTCCATCTCATTTCCCCTCCTTCATTTTCATCCTCCTCTCCTCTCTCATTTCCTGCCGGCCGGCCCTCCATCACCCTCTCTCTCGGTGTGCAGACATCACTGCCATTATTGGGACAGTGACACCTCCATTAATCAATTTAGCAAACACCACGGGCTGATCTGCACAAAGTGTCACACACACGCGCACATGCCAAAACATCCAGGACAAGTATCTACAATTCATTCACCTTGATCCTGCCCTGTGGAAGTCAAGGTCATGCAGTCCCGTGGGGAATCTATACGTCATGTAATCTCAAGCGGTGGCATGTTGGATTATGCACCTCTGGACGATACAATCCTGCTTCCTATGGTGTTATTACATTAATTTTTCATGTATAGCATATGCATATGCATAGCATACAGGGGCTCTCATCGGTGAGTGCTGTATGACAGACAGTCTCATTTACAGGATGTCTCTGTGCACTCAATACTGCCATCTTCTGACATGATTTTAGTATTGCATTACCAAAATTAACTTGTCTAATGCTGCCCCCTTCGGGTTAGTAAAGAAACTCACTGACTGTTGAATGAAATGCTGCCCCCTTTTGACAGAAGAGAAGATTTTCATCTTACTCTTTCATTTCATGGGGAACTTCACAGTTCTTTACACTCAACAATGCACTGCCAGGTAGGTATGAACACCATAAAATCCTTGGAAAAATAAATGGTTTCATAAAACAATGGTGCTCGTTTAAGATTCAAAACCAGAGGAATTTCCAGCCCAAAATAATTAATATTATTATTAAAAAAAAAATTAATTTGTACAATGCTTACTTTCTATGCAAAGGAAGACATAGTACTGAATAGAACTGAATGCAAAGTTTTTCAACAATTAACTGAATGTTAATTGCATTTAAATAAAAAAAATATAACTTATATAATACACTTTCAGAAAAAAGGTACCACCCCAGTGACAGCTTTTGTACCTTTTATTGAGTATAATTAAGTGGGCCAAAAAGCACTCTAAAATTCAGCTAATTGCATTTCTTATAAATGTAAATTATAATATTTTTTATTTAATTGAAATTAACATACCATATTTCAAAGACAGTAAAAAAAAAATAAATAAATAAAAGTAATTCTGTAATCATTTTTTTAATTAAATTGGTTAAAAGATACTGCCGAATGTACTGACATGCATTTGTGGTAAACTAAAATGTACATTTATATAATTTATATTAAAACATGTATGTCATCTATTCAAATATACAGTATTTGTAATTAATGTACTGATGAAACTGCAATTGAGTGCATTTAAAATATACTAATTTTAAATGTAACATTGAATAATTCACTACATTTTAAATTATTATCAAGTACTTTACATGTGCTTTAGTACGTTAGTCAACAAATCAAAATAAGTTCATTTCTTTAAAGCACAACAAAAGGATTATTAAAACAATGTACTTTACATAATAATAATGTACCTTAAAGTTAAAATTTTAATTTGAAATTATTAAAGAGCACTTATGTGTCTTAAAAAACAGTCATGAAAGCATACTCTCTTTTTAAGTACACCTAAGTGGCCTTGTATTTCATTAATATTATCTGTGAGTACAGATTCGAAGCACACTCAGTGCACAGTCAGTACAATTAAGCGCACCTCTTTTCACAAGGGTTCTTAGTTGCTAAAAAGCACTGGTGTATCTTTGTCTTAAAAAGTGGAGGGGACTAGGTCGTGGCAGAGATGGTGGGCCTGAAGTTGTCATGGCAACCACATACATTGTGCGCTGATTCCCTTTACTGAATGCGCTGAAAAAGTAGCTAAAAGCAGGAAATATGTACATATAAATTAATTTGTACAGAACATCAGGCATCAGTGTCAGTTCTCACTCATTTGTGCACATTTTATGGTTGTTGTTCGTGACTGGGACGCACGCGTAATATACAGTAGCCGCACAACGGCAGCGCATGTGCAGCAGTGGTACCGTAGGTGTGGAACGGGTCCGGCAGTGTATGTTGCTAAGCCATCTTCTGAATCAAGTTCGCATCAATGATCATTATTCAGATACATTTTTTTTTCTTTGAACTTAGACTCTGATTTCTGAAATAGAACAGAATTTAAGGCAGAGTTTTCACAGCCAAGCAATCTTTGCTGTCATTAACACACATAGTTTGTCTATTCTAAAAGCAGTGCATCTATATTTCTATTTATGCCTTAAATATGCCTGGATAGTTATTTCATGTAATTTGTGTGCTTAATTCATTCATTCATTAATTCATTAGAGTAGTATATTTAATCTAAATGTGTAAATATAAAGCTTTTTTAACATAATTACGTCGGATATTGTTTATAAATCTTGATATGTGCGTGACAAGGTTTACAGATCAGGTCTGTCTGACTGTCACAAATGTATTTTGTGTTACACCAATGAATTAAATTATGAAGAACGACAGATCGGAGATGCTTTTGCTATGTGTTATAAGCCTTCCGCATATTTTTTCAATGGTTTCCAAAAAGTGGTGGAGACAGAATCAACTTTGGCAAAACGTTGTGGGGACATGTCCCACCTGTCGACAAAAATCTTCACCTCTAGGGAATTTGGTGTAAAATGGAAATGGAAGTTGTAGCCAAGTTGTGGGATTCTTCGGTTTGGAGACTTCTGGATTATTAGACCTTTTATAACGTTTCAGTTTATTGCAAAGTAACAATGTTTCCTCAGTAATTACACTACTGGTATACACAAGAACACAAAACATTCTTACCTGTATAATGTCTGTCATCTACATTAGAAGCATAACACAGAAGAAAGAGAATAACCGAATTATAAGTAATGAATAAAATATAAAACTGATGTGAGTTTGAAAGTATGCAAACACACTAGTACTCACAGTGGCAGACAGGTTTGGGTGAGTCCCACTTGCCCAGCTTAGTGCAATGAGTGCTGTTTCTGCCCACCAAGATGAAACCCTCCAGACAGCTGTAGTGCAGTATCGTGCCCTCCACCGCTGGGCCTGGAGGGTGAACCGTCACACGGCCGTTCTCCAGAGATGTCCACACCCTCGCACACGGCAGCACTGAAGAGCACACACACGCCACAGCGAAGAGTCACGTTATACAAATATATGCTATTCACAAACTGATCCTTCAACACCTCATTGATGCTTTAAAACTGTTGTGTTTACTTAATGCTAAAAGGTGGTTTATATTCATTTAGGATCTATGTTTCATGTGAGCAGTCTGGAATGGAAGTTTCCCTTACAGGGTACTTTACCTTTAAAAAAAGCACACAGCCTTACCATTCATTTTTTGTCTTGTCAGCAATTAAAAAATGGCAAGAACAGAACATATCACCCTGAGAAACTGATTACATAATGCACAATATGCTCAACGGCCATCTGTAATACTTCATATTTCCGTCATTTATGTCAAATGCCTCAGCGCTTTTGTGTCAATGCCGTTTTAGAACAGCACAGGACAGTTTAAAGGTTTGAAGTGATCGCTGTTTTGGTATGGTTTTTGTTTAAGTATATGTGTGTGTGTGTACTTGACCTAGCTTACTTTTGGGGACAAAATTGCTGAAAAACTTACCCAGATGTTAGCTAAATCAGACAAAACCTCCATTTTGGGGATGTCCTCAAAAGAATATAATAGTTCAGCTCTGTTGAGAATAGCATACTACTCTTGCTTGTTCTTCCGTATCTTCAGGATACACTAATGTTCAAAAGTGTAGGGTCAGTGAGATATTCAGCTAGGAGGAACTAAATCAAAAGAGACAGTAAAATCAATTATAATGCTACAAAAGATTTTGTGCACTGGAAATGGAAGGTTAAGTCAAGCAGCATTGTATTGTGGGATATAGTATTCCATGAATGATTACCCTGGATGACCTACTGCACTCCATCTGCCAATAAATGCATCAGACAACAGAGCACACTTCATGGAGTACTATATCCCACAATGCAACACTGCATGACCTTCCTATTGTGATGAATTTATCAGATCTGCTGCAATTCTGCACACCACCTTCTTGATGGATTTAATATGATTATTGGTTTATACCTGAAATAGATGCTGAATTAATGAGGTCATGTGACAGCAGTGTAGCACGGTCTGAAAAGCTTACACTGTATTCTGCGTACTACTGCTGCAATTAATTCCTCACAATAGCAGCCACTGAACAGTGTATACTGCACACTATGCACTAATCCAGGGGTTTTCAATCTCTTATATGCCACAGACAGCCAATAATGACCATTTTCATGCGAGAGACCCCATCCTAAAATGTAAAAGCCAGCCATATATGTATACAGACTGTGAAAATGGATATTTTAAATACGTGTAAAACATTATTTGGAGAATATTTAATTTCTATTGTGTATATATTTTCTAATCACTATAGTATAGTAGCAGACTGAGCTTCTTGTCTTCCCTGCCACTCCAACTCTACAGTATGATTTCTCCATCCAGCTAGGTTCTTCTACAATTA